ATTCCCTTACATAGTCCGTTATATTGAGACATATTTTTGGCATAGAAAGTGATCGAATTGGAGAATGATGTCTGAATCAAAGTTGTAGCCAGATGGGTTAGCTTTCCAACGCATTTTGAATCGCCTCAATCGAACATTGGAATACAAAGTCATGATAAAAATACTGAAAGAAGGTGCAACTGCCTGTTTAAAACAAGGAATTCCGTTACATAATCCGTTAAAACAACAAATTCCGTTAAATAGACACTTTTTATATATAGAGAGATATATACACACACACACACACACACTGTTGGAAGAAAATGGGCCGTCCATGTGGGCTAACTCGACTCGACCCGACCCATATTATATGAGAGGGTTATTGGAGGCAGAAGTTGAGTAAATTGAATTTGAAATTCAACTCCCCACAACCCACAACTCCCATGTAAAACTTCCACTACAAAGAATATTGAAAAGACATATACAAAATTCGTATGAAATAATAGATTGAAAAACACATGAGGGTGGTGGCTTGATTTTGGAAGTATATTATCTCTAAATTGGTTCTTGGATTATGGCTATCAAATTCCTTCCTTTGTGATCGAATTTCTGACCAAGGAGTGAGTACAAAGCAGTGTGGAAGACAAGCAAACAAAAGGCAAGTGATTCAACCTCGTTTTGGTGATTTCAAGTAAGTTTTACAATTTGAATTTCCGCTAGAAGCATGCAAGCATGTTTTACACACACACATATTGTCTTTAGCTAATAACATGCTTGCTAAAGCTTAAAATTTTGTAAGTGCTTATACGTCGTGCGCAATGCTGAATATGTGAATATTATAAATTCTATAAAATCTCCGAATAAAATATATGTTTGACTAATTTAAAAATAGCTTAAACTTTGCAAACATGAACTAATACATAACAAATGTAGGTAAATAAGTGGGAATAGGACTATTTCAATATCTTTCAGCTCCATTCTTGTCTATTATTGATGAATGTTGTGTATTATCATTTTCATCGAATCCCGATTCAATATCTTTCAGTTTAATATTTTTCTCGTTTATAAAATCATTAGGGTGAGAATCTTTTCGGTGTAATAAAGAGAAAATGAAAGAGACGTGAATGTTAAAATATATTATAATCTCCTTCTTCGATATCATATAATTTTTAACTGACGTCCCGTGGATGAATTCATATTTAAAGTGAATCATCTTAAATCGTGCGTTTTTCTTAATTCAAGATTTGACCATTGCTGCTAAATTAGTGGAAGATTTGGCTAAAACATTAGTCATGGATCAACATATTCTCCTGATTAAATGGGATTAAGGTTCCTTTTTATTACAAGAATTTTTTTGTTAAATGATGAAAGTGGAATCAAGAAATGGGGACCCTTTGGCCCCCCAACTAACAACAATAATAGTAAATCCTTGAACAAAATTATTTATTTGGGTTCTGATTTTAGGTTTGATTGGGCCATTGAGATTCTTAAGAATAAATTAGTTAAAACTATGTTGTCGGTGGATCTATGTGCCTGACCTTTTTGACTTCTTGCTTCTCACCTTCCCCGTGATTGGAATTTTAGTAGGTTGATTAATACTCCTGTTTATGATTAAGAAGAAAAAATGTGTTTCTTAAGGATTTTATTTAAGAAAAAAAAATGCAAATTTTAATTGACAAGCGATCATACTTTCGTGATGCCGATCTTGTTGGGAAAAATAACAATTTGTCATGTTGGCTGATATATGTAATTAATCGTGTATAAATGTTATTTTAAACTTAAGCTCAAAATTAAAATCATCTAATAAATAATTAAGTAACTGGGCATTAGACATCTAAATAAATTGTGGACTGAATTATATGTGTAGAGATCAGATCTATTATAATTGTATTTCATTGGCCACATGGTTTCAATAAAAAGAACTTCGATGGGTTGACTGAGCTACGTGGGAGCTAGGTGACGAAACGTAACATTTATCTTATTTTGTCCCTGTTTGACACCCATTTTGGAGAAAAAATAAATTTTGGAATAGTGATTGATTGATAGGGATGGCAAAAAAAACCCGACAAACTCGATACCCGCGGGGCCCCGCCCCGTTCCGCTTAAACGGGTAACGTTCACCTTCCCCGTGATTGGAATTTTGGTAGGTTGATTAATACTCCTGTTTATGATTAAGAAGAAAAAATGTGTTTCTTAAGGATTTTATTTAAGAAAAAAAAAATGCAAATTTTAATTGACAAGCGATCATACTTGATGTCGATCTTGTTGGGAAAAATAACAATTTGTCATGTTGGCTGATATATGTAATTAATCGTGTATAAATGTTATCTTAAACTTAAGCTCAAAATTAAAATCATCTAATAAATAATTAAGTAATTGGGCATTAGACATCTAAATAAATTGTGGACTGAATTATATGTGTAGAGATCAGATCTATTATAATTGTATTTCATTGGCCACATGGTTTCAATAAAAAGAACTTCGATGGGTCAACTGAGCAACGTGGGAGCTAGGTGACGAAACGTAACATTTATCTTATTTCGTCCCTGTTTGACACCAATTTTGGAGAAAAAATAAATTCTGGAATAGTGATTGATTGAAGAATGTGTGGTTAAAAAGTAATGATAATTTTTTGGTTTATGTGTAGTATTATTTATTGATAGAATGTGTGATTGAAATGAAGGAAGAAAAAAAAAATGAGAAAGAAAATGAGTGTCAAATGGGGCTTCATTGCAATTTAATTACTCATAACGTATTTAATGATAAGCAATCTAATAAAAATGCACTTCACATAATTGAACATAAAGATTGCTAAGTGGTCGAAAAAAGGCGACGGATATTTCACGTGGCAGTCATTCACGTGATGTGCATGAAGAGCCTGTTTGGTAGGGATTTTTGGGGGAAGAATTGATTTTGAATAGTGATATAATGGGAAATGTGTGGTTGAAAAAGAAGAAAAAAGTATTGATGTGATGGAAAATATTATTTTATTGAAGAATGTGTGGTTGAAAATGAGAATTGATTTGAGAATCAGAAACAAACATGGCCGAAATATCATATACACAAGCTTCCAATGGCCCACCCCGCACATTGCAATGCTTTCTTATTTTCACCATAAATCAATTTTGAAGTGTAATATTATTTATTAGCAATAGTGATGAATAATAGGCGTGTGACCCTTCATTCAAATTTGAGAAAGCAAATTATAAAAATGATATAATATCATATATTGTTATGTTGGTAAGCAATTACTATGTAGTTGAACATGCCACGTCCGATAAGCAAGCACTAAATACACAAGAAAATGTGTAATTCCCACATTTGCTCGTCTCGACATGGGCACATGAAGACACTAATGTGGACGGACACACAAATTATATAGATATCGAAGTATTATTTCAAGGGTCGTCAGCAATAAAACTTGTTTGAATTAATCTTTACATGTAACTTTATAAACGTATGTTTAATTTTTCGCCTTGAACTATTGTTCAGAATTTTGAAATTTAACGTAGGTTAACGAAGTAAGAGTCTGTTTGAGTCAAAAAAAAAAAAAGAAAATTTTTTTTTTAAGAAAACATTTTGGAATAGTGGATTGATATAGTGTGGTTGAAAAATAAATCAAAATTTGAGTTTGCGTATAATATTATTTTATTGAAAAATGTGTAGTTGAAAAAAGAGAAATATATTTTGAAAATAATGAAAATCAAACAATGGCTAAATTATAGAAACCAGTTAATGATTTCTCGTTCCATTCTAAATAGTTTGGATTTCAATCAATTTCTCAGAATAATTCTTCTTTAAACATTATGCTGATTATTAACTAAGATTATACTGTTAGACTAAAAATCGATCCAAAACAATAATGTAGAAACAATTGGATCGAAAAATCAAAAAATTTCACGAATTGAGTTCATACCTCCACTCATTAATGTTGTTCCAGAAGCTCTTTCTTCTGTTCCAGGTAATGGTACTTCCGAGCTCTCAACACTCTAAATTGACGATGTATTAATATGTATTTTTCAGTTGTATTTGAGTTTAGGTACCAAACCCCTTTACATAGTAAGCATTGGCCACAATTACCCTCCAATTGATGTTGAAATTGAAACCACGATGTTGGACCATTAACAGCGAAAGAAACGGACGTGTTACGTGTACTATCTCTGATTAGCATCAGCTTAACAGATTCACTGTATAAAAGGGCACAAAACAAATATTTTTACTACAAAAATGGAGAATCTGTACACGTTTCACCCATTCACCGACTTATTCAAAATCTTTCCAAAAAAAGTTAGATTATTTATATCTAAATCTGTCGATTTTCTTCAAAAATTGACACAAATTGCAACATTCTGTTCCAAGTTTTTCTGTAATCTGTCTTCTTTTTCCCAGTACCCTTTACTGTATATTTTGAATATGAACTGTATATAGAATTTTAGATACGGTGTGCGTACACAAACTGCACTTTTTTTGCGGCAAAAAAGTGATTATTCTTATTTTAATTGGCTCCTTTAGCTTTTTCTTCACCACTCACTCATTGCCTTTACCAACCCACGAAGAACCAGCTTCATTCAGCACAGAAGTTCGGAATCCAGAAAATGAAGCCTATTTTGTTGATTTTTTTTATACTTTCAGGAGTTTTTGTCGAAACTTACCAGCAGCAGCAGCAGCAGCCCATCAAAACTATTGTGGTTTTGGTGTTGGAAAATCGATCCTTTGATCATATGCTTGGGTGGATGAAGAAATCTGTAAATCCCGCAATCAATGGAGTCACAGGAAAAGAATGCAATCGAGTTTCTACCAAAGCAGAGGATACTGAAACAATTTGCTTTTCTGATGATGCTGAATATGTGGATCCAGATCCCGGCCATTCTTTCGAGGCTGTGGAGCAACAGGTACGGGCAAAAATCATCTCGTCTAGAAGCTTAAACGCGCACAATTTTCTTTAATCAGTCGATCCCAAGACACAACATGTATGGTCATAAAAGTTTGTGTTAGATATGGGGTGGATTTATTTACTTAATTTATCTTGAACAGGTGTTTGGCTCTGGTTTAGTTCCTACAATGTCTGGTTTTGTAGAACAAGCATTAACAATGTCACAGAACTTATCAGAAACAGTGATGAAAGGATTTAGGCCTGAAAATGTGCCGATTTATGAAACATTAATTCGTGAATTTGCAGTGTTTGATAGATGGTTTTCGTCGATTCCTGGTCCAACACAACCCAATAGACTTTTTGTATATTCTGCAACTTCTCATGGATCCACAAGCCATGTTAAGAAGCAGTTGGCCAAAGGGTACCCCCAGCGGACGATATTCGACTCCGTTCACGATAGCGGTTTAGATTTCGGGATTTATTTCCAAAACATTCCGACAACTTTGTTTTATAGAAATTTGAGGAAGTTGAAGTACATATTTAAGTTTCATCAGTTTGATTTGAAGTTCAAGAGTGATGCTAAGAATGGAAAGTTGCCTAGTTTGACTGTGATTGAACCTAGATACTTCGATTTAAAGGGATTACCTGCAAATGATGATCATCCATCTCACGATGTTGCGAATGGACAGAAGTTAGTGAAGGAGGTTTACGAGACATTGAGAGCAAGTCCTCAATGGAATGAGACGCTTTTGGTCATTACTTACGATGAACATGGGGGTTTCTATGATCATGTGCAGACGCCGTTTGTTAATGTCCCCAATCCTGATGGAAATACAGGCCCAGCGCCTTATTTCTTTAAGTTTGACAGGCTTGGTGTTAGAGTACCTACTATTATGGTTTCTCCTTGGATCAAGAAAGGAACTGGTATGCTCGTCTTGTTTCCTTTGAATGATAATGGTCTTTTTTTCTCTAATGTTTGAAATGATTCTGATTTGATATGGTTTTGATTGTTTCGTATGTAGTAATAAGAAGACCAAAAGGTCCGACTCCAAATTCCGAGTTTGAGCACTCGTCAATTCCAGCCACCATAAAGAAGATGTTCAACCTCTCATCGAACTTCTTGACTCATAGAGATGCTTGGGCTGGTACATTTGAGCAAGTAGTCGGGGAATTAACCTCTCCAAGAACTGATTGCCCAGGTAATCATCTTCTCGACTTGGCCTTGTATGACTTCTTTACTTGTTTTCGGTTTCGCTTTGCTTAATATTGCTCATCTTTGAAATTATGGCTTAAATCACGATGCACTCAACTTCTTTGTTTCGAACTTTTTTCTTTTTCAAGTATTGAACTTTCAATGGGGCAACACATTAATAAGGTACCGTGTTAATTGTTTGCAGAGGTCCTGCCTGATGTAACACCTTTAAGAAGCTCTGAAGCAGACGAAAATCGTGGGTTGTCTGAGTTCCAGGGCGAGGTGGTGCAATTGGGTGCCGTTCTGAACGGTGATCATTTCTTGAGTAGCTTCAGGGACGAGATGCGAACTAAGATGAACGTGAAGGAAGCTCATGAATATGTAAGGGGTGCTGTATCAAGGTTTATAAGAGCGAGCAAGGAAGCTATCAAGTTGGGCGCAGACGAGTCTGCCATAGTTGACATGAGGTCTTCCTTAACTACGAGATCCCCGATCCATAACTAAATTCCCCATCGAGGATGTCCTGTCCTTCGAGCCATTGTGTTGTGTCCATATCGAAAGCTGTTTGTTAGGTTTTTTTAGTTCTTGTTGGATTCATAGAGCATATTGAAGTGTTAAGCTCTGTCAATAGTCTTGTGTCAGTTGTGTGAAAGCTAATGAAGAATTAAAAGAAATAATAGGCTTAAGGGCCATTTTGTTTGTCAAAGGTTTGTTCGTTAGTATAGCGATCCGAAGAACACAAAGTTCAATAACTTATTACATAGTAACTTATTACAATAAATAAAAAGGTGCTCGACTCGACTTTGAACAATCAGCTTTTACAAGTCGAACCGGGCGCGCACTTATCTTGGAAATCCATTCAAAGAGTCGGATGTCTTTCCAGACATGTTGGAAGTTTGCAGAGGCTTGTGATGTAACTGCAGCTCGTGTGACTAAGAAGGATGATCTCAGGGTCACAACTCAGAAGATGTTGGATACGCCTGCGCCATACTTATTGGACGTGATTGTACCGCATCAAAGAGCATGTCTTGCCTATGATTCCCAGTGGGGGGAGCCTTTGAAGACGTGATCGCCGTGCGTTATGGAAGAACCAAGTACATGAGAAAAACTATGAATTTCGCTTATACCTTAAATAATCATGCTTCTTGGTCTGCCAATTTCTGGCAGAGATTTTGGAATGGGAAAAAACGAAGATTTTCTCACATCGGCCTCCTTCATTCCCTTATTCATATCCGTTAAGAGAAAACTACCAGAATTTCGACTATTCATAAGCTGATTCTGATGAATATTCTTTTAGGTTGTAAGAAAAACCTGGGAAGATTCAAATAGAAGCAGAATTGGATTCAATATGTGGGTTGATATACTGAGAGAAATGAAGAAATGAATAGACCAGGCACAATCTAACAAGAATCCACTGTTTTCTTCAGGCAAAGTGCCAAGAAATTGTTGTTCGTTGATACAAGATATATATTTCTCTGTATTTTAGGTCAATCAATATAGACTTGGACCTTAAACGCGTTAGGATTAGACGATTGATGGTATATTTCAACAGATCTTAATTAAAATATTCAACACTAGAAGGCTACAACTGCACTTGATTCAAGATTATTTGAGTTTAAAATCTCAATTAGAAAGCGACGAATGAAAGACTATATGTCGTGTTTTATGTGCGAAACTAGACAAGTTGGACATGACAATTGATAAATTATATATCCTTTCTCTTATTTCTATTCAGTAGACTTTATGTCGTGTTTTATGTGCGGAACTAGACAAGTTGGACATGACAATTGATAAATTATATATCCTTTCTCTTATTTCTATTCAGTTGAGGCTATCGAGCATAAATTTTATTCTTATGTCTTTCTTCTTGATCCTATTCAATTGAACATATCAAGCATGAAATTAGTAGATACGACGAATACCGGGCGATTAAAATTGTGGGTTTTGTGTAAACATGTAAGGTTGGCACCAAACAAGGGGGAATATTTCCAGCAGACATACTTCGAAGTTTGAAAAATTGAAATCAGTATCAAGAATGTACAAATTGTTTACTTATTTTTAATTAGGAAAGTACAGCTCAAAGACAGGTTCAATGAAAGCAAAAGCCTTTGATCACTTCTAATTATTTTATTATTTGCTGTCATTAGATTAGAAAGAAGCTTCTGCGAAGCACAGTTTTGGCAATTTATTTATTAAATTCCTGTTTGTTTTCCATCTTCGCTCCATTTTTAGAAAAAAATACTATCGTTGTACAGCCCGGAATTGTTGACTTCCATATAACATTATTCTTGAAATTGATGCTCCAACGATCACAACATTCATTTTCTACAGCTAAAAAATGGGCAACAAACAGAGGCTAGACAAACGTTGAAATTTAGGACTTAGAGGGTATTTGGTGGGGATTAAAATTGATTTTTAATGGATTGTGATAGAAGTTTTGAAATGTGTGGTTAAAAAGATGTGGGACCCATAAAAAGATGTGGTTAGTATTGATTGTTTAACTTTGACTTAGATTAAAATCAAATTTTAATCCGGTCCAAACATGCCCTTAATATCTGTGAGAGGCTAAAATACTTTTTATGAAGCAAGACAAAAATTAATTGAAAAATATATAGATTTAAGAGTTCGCTTTCGGGTACAGTGCATAATTTGATGTGAAAAATAAATTTCGAGGAAGTTCACGATTTATAATTGCGTACTTGATTTAAGAAATAATGAGAATCGCCGTGTTCCGATCGTTCATCCCCGAATTTCTGCATATTCCCCAATATTGTAAATTTATATTTCTTTATTTAAAACGAGTTTGTTGACACATTTATTTGAATATCATTTTTTTCGCAAACTCATTTTCAATGATATTCTTTCAATAAAATAAT